AATAATAATATTAAAATAGTTATTATTATAATTATATTAATTATGGTATGAAATAATAATTGTTATAATAATAATAACAATAATAATAATAATAATAATAATAATATTTAAAAGAAAATGGGGGAATAACAAAAAGAAATGAGAGGGGGGGGGGGGGATTTCTTTCGCCGGGAACCGGAACCGGGATTGGAACCGGTAGTTCTTAGAAAGTTAGAACCAGAACCGGAACCGCTCTAGGCAGTTCTTAAATTTTTGGAACCAGTCCCGGAACCGGCGGTTCCGGTTCCGGGAGCGGGTAACCCGGTTACATTAACTGTGTTAACTTTTCTCGATAAAACCGTAACTTAGTTCGATCCAAATCGAATCAATTCAGATCAAAGATTGATAGAATCGGACCAATATATTCTTAACCGGTTTAAGTAACACACACATTTATAAGAAATACTAATATATATATATATATATATATATATATATATATATATATATATATATATATATATATATATATATATATATATGTGTGTGTGTGTGTGTGATGCAGTGTACGTTGTTAATTGAAAGAATAAGTAAGAACAAACTATCGTTGATTCAATTGAATGCCGATAACTCACAAATATTAGGGAAAAAACCAACCCCTAATTTTATTCACCAAAAGAATATATATATATATATATATATATATATATATATATATATATATATATATATATATATATATATATAATTCACCAACCCCTAATTTTATTCACCAGCAGGTAGTGGTTCCAAAAAAATAAGAATTGGAATCGGAACCGTTTAAGGTGGTTCTGTAACTTTAGAAACCAGAATCGGAACCGTTTAAGGCAGTTCCAGTTATAGAACCGACAGTTCCGAAGCGGTTCCAGTTCCGATGCTCATCTCTAAATAGATTTCCTACAAAATGGTAATTTTAAATATTAATTTATATTCTGTTGTTTTTTTGTAGGAAATTTCGGTCGCTTTTCCGTCCAAACTTTTGTTGTTTCTATATCCATGGCTATATTGTTGAAATTTTGTTGTACTCTTCTTTTGTTTTGAATTTGTTGGAAATTGGATGAAAATGACCTACAAAATATTTTGGTAGCTAAAAACAAATATTCTAGTAGTGACTCACGGAATTACGATGCAATAAAATAAATAGAATAATAAAATTGATGAAGTAATGTAATGAAATCATTTTATTGTCATGCTTAGTTTATCACCTCTATAAATTATAAATCGTATAAATGGAGAAAAATCTTGAATGAAATGAACCCATCTGACAATATACCCCCGTAACATAAAAATAACATTCTTATAAATCATAATATTCATTTAAAAGAGATTGCATTTCATCATGGGTTCAAACATTTGGACACAAACAAAAGTTTACAACCACTACAAGTGTACAACAATTAGTAATCAAACATATACTAGTTATTTTATGAATATTAAAAAATACAAAGTAAAAATGAACCAAACATCTAGCTCATATTCTGAATTTCTTTTTACAATCATCGGCATACGAATAATCTGAACCTATGTGATTGTGAAAGACTCAAATCGAAATTGGCTGACTTCGGCTGTGTGTCGTAGTCTCAATGCATGTGAACAAGTTAATGACTCTGCCATTCCGTCTTATATTTAAACCTACTTTCAGTACACACACTTAATATTTTATTATGCAAAACAAAAAAGTTCATTTCAACCACTTTTGTCGTTCTTTTCGTTATCTTTTGTAGCTAGCTCTTCCTTCTCCTCCTTCATCTTCTTCGCCTTAGCCTCCGCCTCTTCGTTCTCCTTCCTCTTCACATCAAAGAACTCAATGAGACCATCGAAAACAATATCAGGGTCATCATTTTTGAGTAGTTGCTCTGCTATTTCAGCTGGAGTAACATTTATCTCGCACATCAAATCCTCAATCTGTTTAAAAAGAGTATGATGAGTGATTCCAAGATAGTTAGAAACCAACTGACGAAATCCACATGGCGTACAATATGACATGTGTATATGAACATCCATACGACCAGGACGAATAAGAGCGGGATCAAGTTTCTCCTTATGGTTTGTGGTGAATATGATGATCCTTTCATCTCCACAAGTTGACCATAATCCATCGATATAATTAAGAAACCCCGACAAAGTTACCTGAACAAAAGAATTAGAATAAGAATGGGAAATAAGTTAAATACATATAAATACGTGTGGTTTTGGTAATGGCTGAGGTTACGTTTTTTTCTTCTCCAGAGATCAGCTTTCCTTTTTTCTGAGCTAAGGCTCTCGCAGCCTCCGCAGCTTCCCGATCGTGGAACTTCACGGAGCAATCAATGTCCTCCACCACCAGTATTGATCGGTTGGCAGTTGCCACCAGCAACGTCCGCAGCTCCGAGTTTGACTTAACGTCAGTCAACTCCAAGTCATATATGTCAAAATTCAAGTGATTCGCCATGGCTGCGATCAAGCTTGATTTTCCTGTCCCCGGAGGACCATACAATAGGTAACCTCTCTTCCATGCTTTCCCTACTTTCCGATAATACTCTCTCCTCTCCACAAATCTATCCAAATCCTTCATCACTTTCTCTTTCATATCCTCATCCATTGCTAACGTGGTAAAGTTCGCCGGATGATCAAGATTCACCGACGTCCATGTGGTGGATCTCGAATATGAAGAGGTTGTGGTGACAGTGAATAGCTTCAAGGTTTTCTGTTCCTGTTTCTCTATCTCCGCCTCCTTAAGAACAAACGGCAAGTATTCATTCAACACCATATCTTTGTGATCCCGATGAAACGTGAGCTCAAATGATCGGAGATCATTTCGGGAAGAATGATTCATACCATCTTGACTGCGAGTATGTCTATGTGACGTCTTCTTGGAAACCAAAGACCAGTAGAGATTGACTCCGTTGAAAATATCGGTGAACTCCTCGTTGACTTCTATGGCAACCGCGATGTTATTCTGGTTAGGAGTTTTGGTGACCTTTATAAGGTGGATATCGGAAGACATTCTAGCAGCGACGTAGAGTTGGGTGGCGTTGTATATTTCGTTGTCTTGAAACCCCTCGGATTCGTAGATGATCATGGTCAAGTGTGTGGAGAATTTCTTGATGAAATTTCGAACACCGAGATATAGATAGTTTCTGAATTCACGGGGCAAGTAATCACGGGCGACGCTGCGTATCACCACTGCGGCGGCGGCGACGGAGCCGATGGTGGAGACGATGGTTTTGACGGTGGGAATTTTGGATTTAGTTTTGGAAGACATTTTAGAAATGATGTGTTGGTTGATTAAGTGAAGGGTTGCAGGAATGGAGTTTTATAGTGGAGGGGATGAGGTTTCCTGACGTTGTTTACGGACGAAATAGCGACGTAGATGAGAGGCGTATTATTGGAGGCTGTAAACTTTCCATAACGATAGATTTTTAATGTTAAATGACGTCAAATATGTTACTTTTGAAATTTAGCTATGATTTATCTTATTCTATTCTCAAAATTTAATATAAATTCAAAATTAATAAAACTTTTTATTAAAGTAGTTTTTTCTAGAACTTGCATTTTAAGTTGAGTAAATTAAAGATATGTTCCCGTAAAAAAAGACGTAGCAAACTGAATGACTATTCCCGCCATCAGCCATGATCATCCATTTCAGCAGCCTAACATGAAAATTCAAATATATTTCAGCCCATTTTGTTATCATTTTTGGCCCAACAATAGTGCATTGATCCAAGAACTAATTTACAGCAGTCAAAATGCAACAAAATTGCAGCCACGAAGCCGTATATTTCTGGAAGAAACAGAACTGAAGCTAACAAAAGTCTTCAATGTGATAAAAGAGTAGTTGAAGTTGTGAGTTGAGACTCTATCCAAAGCATCAATATGGTAGCCCAATACCTAAACAAAAAGAGCCCAATGGAAAGTTACGTTGCAGATTTTAAAAAACAGAAGGCCCATCAGCTACACATAGACGTATCAGTGCATGGCAAAACGGCAAAAAGAGAACAACAAGAGTGACTAAGGACAAACTGAAGGATCGAGTTCTTGTTGCAATTTTAGTGTCACTGGTTCTCTTTGTGTAATGGAATTTAGACATGTCTCAAAAGGGATCATATCTTTGTTTTAATACAAGCATGGAGGTGCAGGTGTACACACTTATATTTGTCCAGATTGATCCCGGTACAAAATTACTTCGGAACCTTAGTTAAATTTATTAAAATTTAGGGAGTTTCAATGTAATTTTGTGTAGTTATCCACCCTTAACCGTCTTATCTAAAAGCAGTTCAAATTACGAGAGAGATTTGATTTCTCTCGTTTTTTGAGACATGTGAATTTATCACATCACCCATCACCTTCTCTCTCGTGTTTTTTTTTTTTTTTTTTTTTTTTATTTTTTTATTATTAATCTTCTGTGCCTGGAACTTTGATTGTCCCTTTAAGGATTATTTTATGTTGAATTTCTCAAGACATAAGAAGAAATATCAATTTAGAAAATGAACCAATACGATCCTTGATGAAATCCAGTGATCATCTAATTCCGTTTCTACCCTAATTTTTCTAACATTTCTTACTTTGTTCTTCCGACAACTTCTCCTTTCTTTTCTCATTATTTTTTGAACATGATCATTCATTATGCATGGATCAATTTAGTTTTATTAGATTAGATTTTGTTTATCATCTATGAAGGTGATTAACAAGGAAATTATGAGGTTGTTTGATTTCATTATTCTTAGAGAATCTAGTTTGTTTGAGTTTGTAAATGACTAGTTTTAGGAAAGACTTGCACTCTCAACCAATGAAGGATACATTTCCATAAACATCTAATAATCCTAGGCTAGCTACAAGCCATTTGGTAAACAATACTCCTACACTATCTAATGTTTTTCGTTATATATATGTTTTTCGTTTTGGATGAAAACCCTTTATATTTGGGAACCATACACATCATATTTCATAAATGTCACGACGAAATTAAAATAATGACGCAACACTCTCTAATTCACAAAAAATCACATAATGGTACAATTGGAGTCTCGTCCCTCCCAATGATTCATATGTTCCATGGTCATTTGTCGACAAACAACACAATCCTGTGGGATGTGCATATTATATGGAAGAATTTGAACATCTTCTTTGGGTTTCTTTTCTTCTGTTTTTTTCTCTTCTGGTTTCTTTTCCTCAGGTTTCTTTTCCTCGGGCTTCTTTGGAGGTGCAGGAGGAGGTCCAATTGTCACCACTTCCACGAATTTTCCAGCCTTCTTTGTTCGTAAAATAATCTCATACGGATCTGCATCTCCCGTTACAGTTACAGTTCCTTTGGCTACATCCATTTCAATCTTATCCACGCCTAGAATCAATTAAGCTAACACAGGGTAAGAATATATTGTACTTAAAACTTGTCACTTCTTGAATAAAAAAAACCAGACAGTAAATTATAAACAAAGTGCTAGTTTTCAACAAGTACCTGAAATTTACTTATAAGTTCATGCTTTCTAGAAATTAATATAAAGTTAATTTATCTTCTAAAAGTTAAATCTTATATCTCCATGTGATTGTGTTGAAAGTTTTGGAGTGATTTTATTACTTTTAATATCAACATAACTTTACACCCAGTTCTCCGGTTCAACTAAACGATAAAAAAGAAAGGAAATAGATGAAAATGAGAAGAAAGTAAAAGAATTTGCTTTCCTTTCCGATTTGGAAGGATTTTGAAAAAATGAACAAAAATGTTTAATTTTTCCTCCCAATTCTCTCCAAACTCATATGTATTACTGATAAGCTAGAATAAAAATAGTTATTGGTACACATATAATGGATCACTAACTACCTTGGACACCAGAAACTGATCTGAGGATCCTCTTCTTAGATTTTTCGCATGATAGTTGCACCTTCAATACTGTTCTTTGCACCATATGGACTTTCAAACCTCTCTCTCTCTCTCTCTCTATATATATATATATATATATATATATATATATATATATATATATATATATATATATATATATATATATATATATATATATATATATAGAGAGAGAGAGAGAGAGAGAGAGAGAGAGAGAAATTTCTTTGTTTTAATCGACTAGAGCATTGGTTTCTCAAAAAAGTTATATTTTAGTTGTGTTGGTGTATGGATTGTATAGAATGTAAAGGATTACTTACTTCTTATTAAATATGTTTTAAATATCTTCTTTCATATTCGCAAGTCTCTTTTTTAGAGAAGAAAGTTCAGTAAAAGTAAATTAGTTTATTGTATTTTAACGTTTGATAAAATCATAAAATAGTTTATTGTATCTTGTAATTGGAGACTATACACTACAAGAATAATCGGCAATAACGGTGACAGCCACTTTTAGCGGCAACAAAGAAAAAAACAATTTATTTTGTCACCGCTAAAAGTATGTGTCGCTGCTAATGGCGTCGCCCTAAAGGCTTATGTTGGCGATCCACATCATTTCAACCCTATCCGTCGATTTAAATGATGATCCAACGATTAGGAGGACATAGGAAATCATGCGTTGTTTTACCTCCGGTGTGTCGCCGCTAAAGGTTTATACTGGCGATCCATGTCATTTCAATCTCATCCATCGATTTAAGCGTTGATTAGACGATGTAGAAAAGCACGTGTTGTTTTCCCTCCGGTGTGTCACCACTAATGAGTAAGTGTCGCTGCTAAATGTCGTCGACAATAAAACCCTGTTCGTCCTCACTTTCTTTCCTGATCTTTTGTGTTTTCCCTTCTTCTCCCTGCTCACTATCGACTTTCTTAATAATAAGAAAGAAGAACCTCATGTAAATACCATGGAATAAGATTTGAAGCTCCATATCGACTTCATCGGATTTTCACCAAAATCTTTCCAATTTCATACTTTTCTCCATTTTCTCATTTTCTTTTCATTTTCTTTTCTCCCTACTAAATTTCTACCATTTGTGATGGTTGCCGGAATTTTGAGATCACCTCGCCGTTCTCATAGGAGTATACCGCCACCACCACTGTTATCACCGAAATTTTGATTGTGGATGTGTATATATTTATGTGTGTATTTTGTGTTTGTAGATGTGGATATGTATTTGTATGTGCATCTGTATGTATATGTGTATTTTGAATGCATTTAATATATGTATATGTGTTTTTGTATGTGTAATTCTATGTATATGTGTATTTTGTATGTTTATTATGTATGTGTATGTGTTTTTGTATGTATATTTGTATTTTGTATGTGTATTATATATGTTTATGTGTATTTGTATCTATAGAAATACATATAAATAGCAGAGAATGGCGATGAAGAACATTAGCGGCGACGGAAGGCAATAGCGGCAACAAATAAAGTAATAGCGACGAACCAATAACAGCGACCTTTTAGCGGCGACATGTTGGAACTTTAGCGGCGACGTCCGTAGACACTAATGATAGAAATTCTTGTAGTGGTAGTTTATTAATTAGCTTATTGACCAACTAGCTTGAGATAGTTTAATGATAATCTAGTTTATGAATTAAAAGATAGTTTTTTTTTTTTTTTGGCTAGCATGCCAGATATGGCCTTAGAAATATAAAGTTATTTCTCTTTACAAAGCTGTAGTCACAAATATTAATATTTTATATCAGGTATCTTAAATATGTATAAAGTAACTTCAAACATATTGTATGTTGTCTGAATCTTGACTTCAACGAGTTGTTAATCTTCCAGATGCATATGGTGCAAAAGTAGGGAAAAAAAATACAAATGCTTCACTGCACAAACTTTCAAACATATTACATGAATATAGTAGATGACTTCTATATTATGTAGAAAGAAGTCCATGTTTTGAAAAGTGAAATGATGACAAGAATACGTTCTAATAGGAATTTAAGTTCTATATCAAGGAAATCCAAACAATGAAAAAACTTGTTTTCATGGTTTCGTCAGTGTATATGTCGGTTTTCATGTACTGGTCTAAAAGCCACGAGTTAAAATGGGGAAGGGTAAGGATCAAAGTTGAGACATTAAATATAACATGAATTCTAGGGAGCCTTACGCACAGTTCTTTTTTGGATTTTTGAATTTCACCACCAAACTTTCTGCCTTTTACATTTTGACAACATAGTTTTGTTGGTCATATTTTGTCACTTTCCCTTGCTTATATGGTTCCACCACCAAACTTTTTCGTTTTTAGACTTTCACCACCTACCTCTTATCACTTCCTCTTCACTGCCTTTGACTCCACCGCCTTTGACTACCGCCACCTTTTTTTTCTCTTCGTCTCTCGATCATTTTCTCTCTGATTTCAAATCACCTATTTCCTTTTCTTGCTAGGTGCAAACCCATTTCTTCATTCTGAGACCGGTCAATGTGACATTTCCACCGTCTCAATCACCGCCTTACTTTACCTCCTTGTCCCCAGTAACTTTCTCGGCTTATGATTTTTTACCCCTCTCTGTATACATGTATACAGAAGCATCGCTCAACAACAACTTCCTTGCTTCCACGTACAGCCACAGTTTACCCCTTTAGCTACAGCGCCACCGACATCCATCTCTGTCGAACCGGCCAACAAGCTTCCCACCGGAGTTGCCTTGACGTCATCTGTTGTCACATCCAATCGCATAGGACAACCCTAAAATTGATTTTGAGTGGTTGCACATCTACTCAATGATGATGTATAGTAGGAAAGACGAAAGAGACCTCAAACCTATGATTGAAGTCAAGAATTTGATAGATTTCGAGTCGTCAAAGTCTCCCCCTCTCTCCATCATCTCCGTTAAAAGAGCTTCGGTAGGTATACACATACACTTTATTGATTTTATTCGAAAATATTGGGTATGTCATTTGTTTTTTATTCCTCCGCTCATCTACAATTAATAACGGTTTCGAGTTTTCACTTGCAAAGGTACTAGCTACTATTGTCTATCGCTTATGCTTTGGAAAATGATTGAAGTAACTTAGTTTTGTGAATTTTTCTATTTTAGACAGGTTTGAACACAAAATCGGCAAAATACATGGAAGCAACTAATTAGGGTTCTATGCTTCCGTTTCATTCCTATCAAACTTACCTTAAATTGACGAGGTGTAACCCCATAGAGTCATGCCAAATTTAAACTTTTTCAAAACACTTAAAACCATTTAGCATTACAAAGTTTGTTATCAAAATGTAATATAGCAGAGTTTTCCCAGAAACATAAACAAAACAGGAGGAGCTGTACGATCACGTCTTTGTCTTGCCCTGGTCCTCTAATGTACTTGAAACAATAAACTGAAACTGTAAACCAGAAAGCTTAGTGAGTTCCCCAAAATACCCATTCCCACAACAATACGCAAATAATCATAAACAACATACTATAGGTCCAGTCAACCATCGGGTTGGAATACCCCAGGCCCTCAACCATCAGGTTGGAATGCCAACATACTATGGGTCCAATCATCCTTAGGATGGAATACCCCAGACCCACAACCAACAGGTTGGAATGCTCACATACTTATGAGTCCAATCATCCTCGGGATGGAATACTCACGGCCTACAACCAACAGGTTGGAATGCCCAGGTCTATTGGCCTCTGCACAAAGCGGATAAGCCTCAACCGCCAAATGACATGTGCATATATAACATATAATCACATAACAGTCTATATACAAACAAACTGATCTAATAGATCATACTACATAACACATAATGTCATCTTATCTACCAGGATACTGATCTAATAGATCATACTACATACCATACCAGCATAACATATTCATATAACAATCCAAAGGGCCGACCTTGGTGCCTTAGACCCTTGAGTATAGTGAGGATAACTCATCTCACAACTGACATGCTGAACTGATAAGCTCAACTCTTGGATCACCGTCACAAACTCCACCACCTATATTCATCATAGAACCATGACCATAAATTTCCTATTTCCCAAAATACCCCCAAAAGTCAACTAGTCAACCCTTGGTCCAAGTCAAAGTCAACGGTTATGGTCAACAATCCATGCTGACCTCAACTCGTCGAGTACAACCAGCCACTCGCCGAGTTCCTTGCCTAACCATCAATTCGCCGAGTCACTTGAGTTACTCGTCGAGTACAAACAGCTCCTGGAGTTGTGAGGATAACACCTACATCTCAGGCGGCGCAAGGCGATAAGGTGCCTTAGCGATGGGTGCCGCTCCCAGAACCATATCAATCCGGAACCCCACCTGCCTCTCGGGAGGCACACCCGATAACTCTTCGGGAAAAACATCTGGGAACCCACTCACTATCGGGACCTCCGCGGAAGAACTCGGTCTCTCAATAGCAACTCGTGTATCCAAACATATGCTACAAAACCCTTGCAACCCTGCTGTAGACTCTGTCTGGCTCTGGTAGCTGAGCAGAATGTAGACCTGGATCGGATACCCTCGCCAAACACTATAGGCACTCCTCCACTAGGGTCTCGTATGGTCACCAAATGATGCTCATTGTCGATCATAGCTCCGAATCGACTCAACCAGTCCATGCCCACAATGACACAGACATCACCCATCGCGATCGGGACTAAATCTATCGGGAACTCAAAACCAAAAATCTCGAGCACGCATCTCCGAATCACATCAGTCGCAAACACTGCATGCTCATCAGCTATGGAAACTCTCAGAAGTCGAATCAACATCTCCCGTCGGATACTGATGTGACGGCTAAAAGCTAACGATACGAAGGACCGACTCACACCCGAGTGAAACAACACCAAAGCAGGTACAAAAATCACAAAAAAAGTACCTAAGCATATAAAAATGTAAGCACAAAATAACTTCAGACATAATAAAATAATGAATACATACCGGTCACAACATCTGGTGCTGCACAGACCTCCTCCGATGTCATCTGAAAGGCTCTCCTGCGAACCCTCGGTACCTCGTGCTTCACTGGTCGGCTCTTTGCAGCTCGTGAAACAGCACGGGCAGATCCATGTGATGATCCCTGTAGCAGTTGTGGACACTCGGCCTTTCGATGGCCGGTCTGGTTGTAGTGAAAACAGACTGCAAACCCCTTGGGGCAATCCTTCGCCATGTGCCCCTCCTTGCCACACTTGTAGCAAGACCCCGCTCGACATATCCCCTCATGACCCTTGCTTCACTTCCACAAGTGCGGCCCTTCTGGCCTCCTGATCTTGAATCTGCGGGCTTAGCCCACTTGGCTTCCAGCTGAGACTGTGCCGGTTGCTGATTTCTCCCCTGAGACTCCGCCTCCTCCCTGGCCTGAGTGTCCAGCTTAATTTCCCTCTTTCAGGAATTTTCTTGAAGCTCAGCAAATGACCGATACATCGATTTCATCACGAACTCTGGAATATCCCTCCTCAAAATGCTCAAATACCGACTCATACGTGCCTGCTCGGTAGACACGGGCTTAGGGCAAAACATCGCCCCCTCATGGAACATCCTTGTAATCATTGTCACTGACTTTGTCCTCTGCTTGAGGGACAGAAACTCGTGGGCCAATCGCTCCCTCTCTACCAGGGGAACATACTCATCTCGAAACATTGTCGTAAACCTCTCCCATGTCACTGCAGTGAGCTCTATAGACGTGAAGCTAGCTGTCACAAACTTCCACCAGTCCTTCGCCCCTTAAGTGAAGCTGGTTCAACGCGAACCGTACCCTCAAATGCTCCAAGCATGAGCATGTGTAAAAACACCCCTCGATATCAAAGATCCATCTCATCGCGACAATCGAATCCTGAGTCCCATCAAACTCTGGTGGCTTCGTGTTGCTGAACTCCCGGTACAGCAACGAGTCACCTCCCTGTGGCTTGCAGCAGCGGTGGCTGCAGCAGCAGCTGCCTTGGTAACAGCAACTTATCGCTCATCAAAAGTCTCAATTAAAGTGGTCTTAATAGACCCAAACATCTCCGGCTTGGCCTCTCGGATAGTTGCGGCCACCTCGCCGTGAATTATCCAGTGAATCTCATCATCGCTAACTCCACTGGTCTCTGGGGTGTGGCGCGTACCCACCATGATGTCTCTGAAATATAACACAAAATAATCAGAGACTCGATCGATAATACTCACACTCTATCACTAACTCCTACTTGTTCCTAGCAACCTAAGGATTCTTACTTGGACTGGGCACCGATTCGGTGTTTCCAGTAGTACGGGCCCAATACTACCTTCCGCACCGCATCTGTGTTCATTCCCAGTCTTCCTCCTAGGATCCAATGATCATAGTTCCCAAGTACTCTATATCTCTCCAAACACAGACTACTCTCTTAGTAGACCTCTCATATGCTCCTCTCTGCTACCTACTCGTACTCGAAGCAAAACACTGGTAGCATTAACCCTAAGCTAAGACATCACAAATCAGGCCACTCTAGTCCTAAATTATGAAATACATGGCCTACTCTGTAGCATGCATAATATATCTCATAAATATCTTATAACACATAAAGTGAGGGTATTTTGGGAAATCACCGCTCGAGCTCTGGCTGATTGTACACACTGCTCTTTTTTGTTTTTCTATAAGAAACTCTTACTTGTTTTAGAAAAACCATTTCTTTTGAAATTTTTTGTCAAATCCTCAGTTTGAGTCCGGATATGCCAGAATGTGCATCCGAACCCTCAAACCAAGGCTCTGATACCAACTTGTAACGACATAATTTTTCAAACAAAATTTTCATTTTTAAAACTCATATAATTCATTTCACAAAATCACAAGTCTCTCAAGTCAACATAAATCGACAGGAAAAGTCAAATCCCAGAATCCTCAACATAATCTCGAACAGGTGTGTACAATTACACTGGTGCCTTCCCGCGATCCTCGGAGGTACCTGAAACACATATGACATAACATGGTAAGCATAAAGCTTAGTGAGTTCCCCAAAATACCACATACAACACATTATCCACTCGAGGCTATAACTCTGTAAGACCCTCCGGTCAATGTGTTTCAGTGGGATCCTCCAGTCCCACAACTCTGATGGACCCTTCGGTCCTAACTCTATGGACCCTCTGGTCCTAACTCTATAAACTCTAAATAACACATAGCATAAATCACACACACATAATCCAGTAATATCACAATACTCAAATAAACACATAAAAACCCCTGGTTACACATATATACCACTCTAGGCAAAGTATAGTGAGAAGACTCACCTCGTAAGCACTCAGATAATCTCGAACTCAAATCACCAGTCTAGCCTCCACCTAAATACACAAAATAATTATCCTTAAATAATAACGACACTTACAAGGCTAGACTAACCCTTCCATACATTCACAAAAGGGTAAAAGACCATTTTACCCCTCCATGGGCTTAATAGACCACATGTTGACCGAACCCTAAAAGTCAACCAAAAGTCAACGGCAGGGAGTACGTTGCGCATACCAACTCCCTACACTGGGCGTACTTGGCTGCCATGCAGGCATCGGGGATACTCGACCCCTACGCTGCGTATATTAGGACTACGCCCATCGTACGTCCCAACTTCACTCTCCTTATATTTTTAGTCTTAAACAGTTAAGACAATGGCTCATAATTCAGATCTACTCCCTACTGTCTCTTAGTCCATAAAGTCGATGACTTTAAGGCTTTGCATGGCTGAATCGGTCACAAACACTCAAAACTCCCATCCCTTTTCCTCAAGAAACTCATAACTCATGCATGGCTCACTCCTAACGTCCAAGATTAGATTTTTATGACTTTACTCCACAAAATACACTGAAAAGGGATAGATCAAGGTCTCTGGAGTGCATTATCTCATGAAGTCTCCATCTTTTGGGACAAAACCCTAAAACACTTCATATCAATGCACCAAACAAACAAATGAGAAAGCTTGAAGCTTTATACCTTTTTGTGAATCCTTCTTCACAACTAAGCTCAGATCCAACTCCTGGGGCTCTCACTCCTACTTCTCCAAAGCTTCATCTTTACTTCAAGAACACAAGATTACACCCACAAGCTCTCAAATGCACTCTCCACCTATAAGGACGAATATTTAGGTTTAGGAGGGTTTCGTTTCTGGAAATGGTGGCCAAGAATGAGGCCATCGCGTCCTTTAAATATGGAGCTCATTAAAGTTTAGGGTTACATTCTGGGCCTAGTACACTTAGCATACCCACTGTTACGCTCTGCGTACTAGGTGACCTTCAAGTCACAAACACACATTCGAGTACGCTGAGTGTACACTCAAGTACACCCTGTGTACTCGTTTACCACCCTTCTCTAATAAGGTCCAAACTGGATAAATGCTTAATATATCAAGGTTTATAAGGTATACATGGACTTGGGATGTTACATCCTCACACCATACGTGTTGATGAACACCATAGATTATATGGGGCATAAAATGCATAATGTAGTTTTGATTTTTGGACCATGGTTTTTGTTCCTGAAACCATAATTCTCATGTATGCTTTCCATCAATTGTTTTCTTCTCCCACACCCTCAAACTCAAGAAGAAGTTTTAGAACGTCTTCAAATCTACATCACTTTTTACACCAAATGGTGTAAAAAATATAAATAATATTTCATCTCTAGCCCAATATCATTTTTACATACTTTTCTCAGCCAAATGTATATTCCTTTTTTTTTTTCTTATATATATTACTAAAAACATACCCCTGAACTTATTAACTATTTACATATTTATTTATATCTTTCTATATAAAAACTTTACAAAATATATTATTACAATATCATAGTAAACTAATTAATTGCATACTATTAATTCGAAATATGTGTTATTTTATCCAAACGACATTCGTTAAATAAAAAAAAAAACTTAATTTTTAACTATATTTAGAACAATAAAATAAATTTTATATTATTTAATATCAACTTAATACATAACACAATATTATAATGACCAATTATTATATTTAGAATATACTTTTTATTTTTATAAACTAGAATTGAAAGATATTAAAAATAGAAAGATTAAAATTGAACTATGAAAGTCTTACGCTATTTTAATATAAATGAATAGTATAACACAAAATTCATTTATTACTATTTATTTACACCACTTTCGTGTTGTAAAATAGTATGAGATTGGAGATAAAAATACACAAAAATGATCTAAAATATAAGTTTTATTGTTAGGTTGGAGATACCCTTAGTCGTTCAACGAGATGATTGTTGAAAACTAAAATCAGTTAATCTATTAAAATATTAAAAGGGTGCAAACCTATATTAATATTTATTAATGTTATTTAATGTTTTAGTTAATTTTTAAAGTTTTATTTTGTAAAACATTATTTTCCACTAAATAAGTTCGAATTTAGACTTTGTATTTTTATAGTTTATCGGATATTATTCCAACATTTTAATGTTACAACACATGAAGTCCACTATAAAAATTTATATAAAATGGTAATTTGGGGGTTTTGAAGCTTTCCATTAGGGGTTAGTATCCAGATCGCGGCCCGGGCCCGTACCTGGGCTGGAACATGTACTTGGCCTGACACTTGACACTAGATGAAGGTTGGTTTTATATTACGGGTTCGGTACATAAAATCACACTCAACCACTTGTGGTTTCCTTACAGGTTCAATACAGCGGTTTTTCGGTTTGGACTGGTTACTAGTTTTATGTGTATTTTAGTAAAGTCTTTAGATTTTCAATTAGTTATAATTCTCTAAATTGGGGATATCAGGTTGAAAGTTTTTCAGTTTTTTAGATTTTATGTGCAATCTATGTGATTTAAAAATAACATAACTCATTCTTTTGAAATGAAATTGACATTAGATCTTTTCCAACATGTAACTTAGAGTTTGTGCTTCGCTACAAATTTATCATTTATGGTTCCATGCTTAATGAGTTACAATCCTCCGAAGTCAGAATATCGGTGCTGGAAGTTTTTTTTCTTCTTCAGATTTTTAACTCTTATGTGTAATCTATGAAATTTTAAAAATTACATAACTAATTCGTTTGAAGTAGGATTGACATAAGATATTTTTAAACATGTATTTTCGAGTTTGTACTTCATCCGAGGGTATAAACACATCAATTTTGGTTATATATTAAATAAGTTACATTCCTCCGAAGTCACGATATCAATTATGAAAGTTTTTCAGCTTTTATATTTTCTCCTTACATATTTCTTTTAAGCCTAGTAATAATATTCTTCCTTAAAAATTTACCTTTAGCATAAAAACACAACTTTTGCTACCGCTACAACGACTCGTATCATGCGCAACGAATGTTGTACCAGTCTCGTTGTTTCAAGAATCGGAAAATCGATGCAGACATCGGTATGTTTCAATAAGCCCGGTCCAAATCCACATAATCCTCTCAACCTGATCTGGTTTTAGAATTAGTTCTGGCCCGATTCGATCCAAATTAAATGTTTCACCTAGTTTCCAAAGCTAGATGATCACATTTTCAAATGACAAAGCGGGTGTTTGGTTTGTTTTTGACGAACAAGGTTAGAATATTTTATATTAATGTTTTTAGAATATTTTTGTATTATAACTCTTAAAGAGTTTTATATGATTATCTTATGAAGTTTTAGGGTTCGTCTTCACCCATCCTCCAAAAATAGCAACCCTTTCTACACTTTTCCTTTTTTTTTAGAAACTGCAAATGAATTAAGTAGAAGCATACTCGCAATATTTCAACGGGCACCCCAAGTTCGAGTTCTTTTACAGAGCAAACTCAGCCCCTATAAGGATTTTCATGAAAAAATTCCGCACATGTGGCACCACAAGAGGTAGTTTAAGGAAATCGAACTACCAACCTCACCCCCCACATGTTATTCAGTGGCTTAATTACATATATTAGCGGACTTAATCACCGATAATGGGTACAACGTGTTTGCTAAATATATGAATTCTGTTTAGTTTGGTGCATGCAAAAGCAAACTTGAACTCCATCGTAATTCATGTCAATATATAGCAGTGTTCACGAAAACTTTGATTGGTTTAAATATTTGGTCAACGTTAACAAATTTTGGCGAAGTTAATTAGCTTAATTGAAAAACAACACCAAATTTAGATAATAAATGCGTTAATATTAATGAGTAACCTCAATTATTTGCGTAACCAGGCTGAGCTTGGTTATTATTGACAGCAAATGCCTATGAATAATTAGTTAAAGTATGATCAATCGTGTACGTACTGCATGTAGAACCTCTCAAACTCATGATCGGTTACATACGATTGAGATTAAATAATATATTTTGATTAGGCGTAATTGCAAAGCCCGTATATGCAATAACCACCAGGCATACACTTGTTGCCACACGACCCACAATGCCGCTTGTCATAAGTCAAATTCACACACTGCCCTCCGCAACACGAGCTCGTAAATTTGCACTTGTTCTTACATGCTCCACAGTTATGCTTATCCTCGCTCAAATCCATACACTTGTTGTTGCAGCAAGTCGAGTTTTTGCCTTCTAAGATGTAGCAAATCTCGTCGTCTTTGTTGCAGTGGTCTGCAGCTCGAGGGTTCTTGGTTTCGGCTAGAAAACGACTTAACCTTTTTGGAAACGGTTTCACGTATGGTGTTGCAGTGACCATTGTTTCTTCATATTTGTCACCCGCGAAGGTGATAGAATAGTTGACCGCGATGACTGTGGCCATTGCTATGGCGATGATGAAGATTACTTTCATGATCTTCATTGTTGAGAGATGAAAGAGAAGAGAAATATCGATCAGATTCAAGTATTTGAAGCTGTGTTGTTGTTAAGAGATTGAAGGATGAAGGTGAGGTGGGGTCTCTCGGTTTTGGAGGTTATATATAGAGGGTAGCCGATAAGGGTGAAGGTTGACCTGCGGGGATCCAGCCATCCAGGTGAGGGGCATGTGGTGAAGTAAACAAGTATTGTGAGTTCGAAGGTTTACTATTTGAAAAAAGTAAATTAATTATGCATGAAAACTGCAAGTGCAAGTTAATTGTCGTTTAAGGACGACTTTAGTATAACAAATTATTTTAAGAATTAAACTAGTGTCTATAAACCCTATTTAAGGAAGCATGCATATAGATGTTAATTAGTTTTTAAGGAAGTGGCTTTTGTGAATTAATTAACTTAACCGATTTAACGAACACCTACGTTATGTAGTTGAAGACTTGAAGTCGGTCATTAAAACTTGAAGAAAAGCGCAGTCAAATGCAGAACTTGCTCTTCATTCATGACTTGTACCATAATATTATATTAGTTTATTATTGGTAAAAGAAATTTAATTTTTTAATCGATCATGGAATCACCACAAAACAAACCAACAAGGAGAAATTGGTCATCGGGTAACAAAAATCGTTTTGGGCCCTTTAATTTTCTTGGGTCGTGTGGATGCATGGAGTAACCTGCTACATGGGCCAGGCCCAATAAATATATAACTTTAGAATATATTTTTGACAAAATTGCAAAAATGGTCCCTGTGGTATGCAAAATTTTGGGGTTTTAGTCCAAACAGTGACTTTTTTGGTTTCGTAGTCCTTTTGGAGTGGTTTGTATGTGAAAATGGTCCCTCCAAAAACTGAAATGACTATAATACCCTTGGGGTATTTATTTTTCATTTTTCTTTCATTATTCTTAAATTTTAATATTTATTTATTTATTTTAACAATTAAAAAAATAAAAAAGGGCCCACCTTTCTCTCTCTCTCTCTCTCTCTCTCTCTCTCTCTTCCTTATGATCCATCACCCTCTCCGGCTGTTGCTACCCTTCTCAACCCCCACAACCCCGATTGAAGGCTTGAACCGCCAGAAAAATCGACTCCTTCATGCTTCATAACGAATCAGGAAAAGAAGAAAGAAAGAAGATGTTGCTTGCGATCCCTTTCGATGGTATTGTAGCAACAAACACGATTTACTACACCCGAGATTGAACACACACCAAAACTCATCAAACTAAGTTGAATTAGGTTTTCTAAAATCGAACTAGATAGAGATACGGTGGAAATCAAGTCAGAAATCGAAAACACGTTTAGAAATTTGGCAGAATCATAATTTGGATTATGAAATCAGTTCATACATACATATGCTCACAAAGATTAATGCAGAAAATCTAAAATAGATTACAAGAGAGCAGATATTAGCAGCGGCTTAAGTTGGAAGAAGGAGGTCGGCCGCCGGCGAAGTGAAATTGAAGAAAAATGTTAGAGATTTGAGGCGTTTGATCGACAGAGAGATACGATTCTGATTTTGGGTAAATACAGACATTGCAGATGTGGATTAAAATGGTTTGATGATTATGATTGAGAAATAATAGAGAAGCTTCAATCGATTATCCATAATCATTTTATTTTCCGACAAGTTCGGGTGATTGAAGGAGGATAAGTTTCAATTGATTTGTCCCAGTCTCTCTACCAGTCTTCATCTCTCAAAAAAGCAATACGATTACCAATGGGTTGCTCCGATCAACAGAAAAAAACAAGGAGGGAGGTGGTTTCATGGTGGTCCCAGCAACAGCAACACCATCGTTGGTGGTGGTGGTGTTTCTCGATGGGAAAGAGGCAGTGGGTGGCGGAGGGAGGAGCTCCGGTAGCCTCTGATGCTTTTGTTTGGTCTTCTACCGGCGAAGACAAAGGAGGGAAAAAGTGGCATCGGTGATTGCTGGAGTGACTCGACAGAAGAGGGCGGAGGGAGGTGGTGGTCGGTGTCAAGTTGGTCGGTCTTTTCCTTCGGCCGGTGAGATACGAACTGGAGGGATCGAGATTTGCTATAGCAGTAGCTGGATATTTGGGTTTAGTGTTATGTGTGTGTGTGTGTGAGAGAGAGAGAGAGAGAGAGACCAAATTAGTTATTTATTTTCTTTTTCATTTAAATTAAACAAAAAAAATACAAAAAATATATCAGAAAGGGCATTTTAGTCTTTTCAGTTTTCCGAGGGACCAAAACCACAAGCAAACATGGTCAAAAGGACCACCAATCCAAAAAAGTCACTGTTTGGACTAAAACCCCAAAATTTTGCATACCACAGGGACCATTTTTGCAATTTTGTCTATATTTTTCATAAAGTATATTTGTGAGAAATATACTAAAATATATTTGTAAAACTTGGCATTTAAAATGGTTTGGGACTTATTTTTAGTCTGCGTTAGTTGCACTAACTGACAATCTAGCTTACAATAAGCCATCTTAAATAGCTTATAAAAAAATAGTCCACATAAGCCATTGTGCTATGACTAAACACTAACGGGGTGTACAATAAGGGATAATGACTTAGGAGGGTAATAAGGTTTCCAGTTTGTTCGTATTATGTCACTAAGGTTTTTTTTGTGCGTATTAGATCAATATAGTTGTTATTACCGTTTAAAATAGTCCTTTTTACCCGTAAAACCAGTAAAAATAAATATTTCTAAACGGTAATAACAACCATATTGGTCTAATACGCACAAAAAAAACTTTAGTGACCTAATACATACAAACTGAAAACCTTATTATCCTCCTAAGTGATTATCCCGTACAATAAAATTAACAGATAGTTTGAAAATGAAAGTTTTTAATTTCTAGAGTAAATTACACAAATGGTCCTTATGGTTTGGATAATTTCTACGTTTGGTCCCTAATTTGTTTTTTAATACGGAATGTCTCTGTTGTTTGTTTTTGTTACGCAGTTGGTCCCTACTGTTTGTTTTCATTACACGATTGGTCTCTGTCTTACCTAAAAACACTATTAGTTAAATAGAAAAAAAATGGTGAGATATGTAAGATAACGTGAGGGGTGAGATTAAGGGTGTCTTTATTTAAATAAATTAAAAAAATCACAGGACAAATAGTATTTTTAGGTAAGATATGGACCAAACGTGTAACAAAAACAAACAGTAAGATCTTCCAAATTAAAAAAATAAGTTTGGAACCAAACATATAAATTACCCTAAACTATAGGAACCATTCATGTAATTTACTCTAGTTTGTGTTTATACATAAATATTTGAAAAAAATAATCGTTAGATTTTAAATATATAAAATTGGTTAAAAATAAATATCTAAAAGCTCGAGATTTGAAACTTTTTGTTTAAAATAAAAACTAAAAACTTTTTCTATCAAGCAGTTTTTTTTTCCTAACATTTTTTTTAAATAAAAAAGCTAAAAACTCAAAAACTTCATATCAAACACGCCCTAAATTGCAATAAACAAATAAAATAAGTTAGTTTTTACGTGTTAAACATAACCTAAAATGCAATGAATGTCATTTTGTTTGTATAATTTTAAATATTTGAATTATTAAATGGCATCGTATTTGTTGGAAGTTGTTTGGTTAGGTCTTTGTATTATTAGATTCCTTTGCCAAACAATCTCACTATGTTATCCTTGTTGAGTTAGGTTTTATAAATACCCCTATCTTATCATAGTTGACTTCAAGCATCTTTGTGGGCACAACGACTATGAGAGGAAAAGTTACCATTTGTACATGTCTCTTGAATGAGAATTCAAAACACACTTGATAAATTGATCAATTATCTGCCTTTCCACAAACTCTCATCAGACAAATATGGCAAGATTTATTTTTTATTATTTGTTAGCGTATTCTTCGTCTTGATCAAAAGCATATACACCTCACAAATCAGAAATGTCACAATATATAAGAATAGCAATACTTAAATCACACAATAATACCTACTTCATTTCATCTTACATAAACAAAAGTACGATTAGTATCCATGAGAAGTTAAGAAGTTTACATAATGGTACAAGTGGTACATGGTTCGGGAGGCATATGAACCACAGCCAATGGTTGACAAACAACACAGGTATTCGGCAAGCTCATATTATTACATGAACACATATGAACTTTCTGAATAGGCTTTATCTCTGGTGGTTTCTTTTCATCTACCTTCTTTGGAGGTGGAGGTGGAGGCCCAATTGTTACCACTTCTACACATTTTATGGCCTTCCTTGTTTGTAAAATTATCTCATAAGGATCTGCATCTCCTGTTACAGTTAATGTTCCTTTGGCTCCATCTATTTCAATCTTATCTACACCTTCAATCAATTAACATACCACATACTTTCAAACTCGATTTCATAGATTCTTATTATACTTCTATGAACTTAATTTCCTAATTTAGTTCTTACCGGATGCTTTTTAAGAAATATACCATGATCAAATACTTAAGGAGATGACCATTTGTATGTGAAGGAAGCGACGTTCCAACATGCAGAATGCCAGTTTTGAAAGAAATTTTTTTTTTGACTTATTCGAAAAATAAATATATCGAAAATACAAATGAAATTATTACTATCCTAAAGCTTTTAAGAAATTTGTTGTTTATGCCACCATACTTGATTTTATCTACAGAGAAACTATCATTAATTACCCTGAAAATACAGTGATTCTATTTCTGAAAAAATAAACACTCATAAGAGGTATCGAGCACAATCCTCATAGTTAATCAAAAATCATGTTTTATGTCACTTGGCAAAAGCCATGCATTATATTAGAAAAAGCTATAGATAATGATATTAAAAACCAATTACTGTTAAATTTCGAAATGGCTAAGAGTGAAATTACCTTCAAGGCTAGAAACTGATTTCAAAAGTTTCTTCTTGCATTTCTCGCATGATAATAGTACCTTCAATACCGTCCTTTGCACCATTTGTCCTTCAAAACACACACAAACTCTCTTTCTTTCACATATATATATATATATATATATATATATATATATATATATATATATATATATATATATATATAATATATATATATATATATATATATATATATATATATATATATATATATATATCCGATTCCGGTGAATACTAAAAAAATTGACTACTTCAAGAACAATTTTCCAGAAAAACGCTTTACCATTTCACAAGATAATAACGATAAATTATATATATATATATATATATATATATATATATATATATATATATATATATATATATAAACGATAATTTTTCCAGTCATACATATACAACCATAATTAACCAAAGAATCAATCTTTTTTTCAGCTTTTAGAACTCATTTTTTATCAAAAAAAAAAATAACTAAAAATATAAAAATTCATAACTTTTTATCATTTTTCCAATGATATCAAATTCGATAAAAAAATTTCGTCAAATTCACATTGTGAATCTTTGAAAGTTCACAATGTGAATCTAAATCCGCACGGTGAATCCAAAAAATAGATTAAACATTGACAATGTTAAGTTATGAATTTAGATATTTTTTTATCGATAAAGAATAAGCTTTAGAACTTCAAAAAAATATTAGGTTCCTTGGACAATCAATAATTATGTTTCTCTATTAAACTTATATATATATATATATATATATATATATATATATATATATATATATATATATATATATTCAGGTTCATTTGAAACCATTCTAATTTTGTGAGACCGTGAAACCAAATAAAAAATAATTTTAAAATGCAAAATAAATGGAAAATCCAAAAATTCGTTTTTTATATATTTTTTTCGAAACTTGAATTAACTAAAAAAATAAAAAATAAAAAATAAAAAAAAATCTCGTTTTTTTTGAAAAATAAGTGAAATATTTTAATAAAATATTACACTGACACATTCTAAATAATAATTTTAAAATGCAAAATAAATGGAAAAATCTAAAAATTCTTTTAAATGTTATTTTCGGAACTTGAATTAACTAAAAAAATAAAAAATAATAATAATAATAAAAAATTAAAAAAAATCCCTTTTTTTTTTAAAAATACGTTAAATATTCTAATTGAACATTATATTGTATATATTCTAAAAAATAATTTTAAAAAGCAAAATAAATGAAAAAATCCAAAAATCCTTTTTTAAATATTATTTTCGGAACTTTAATTAACTAAAAAAAATAAAAAATAAATAAAAAAATGAGTCTCACGGTCTTATAAAATTAGGTCGTCTCACATGAACATAACCCTATATATATATATATATATATATATATATATATATATATATATATATATATATATATATATATATATATATATATATATATATATATATATATATATATTCAATTTGATTTGTTGAATATGTAGCATAGAATCGGCATGCGCTTTGGGTTGTTCACCATTCGCTCTCAATGTCTACAAACACAACTTTATTGATATGTCATCTTGTGTAATTACCAGAATCACATTTGATTATTTTTCAACACAATTTTTTTTATCATTTTTCTACTAATGTGTTCTATTAACTTTGTCCGGCAGTGCATAAATATGTATATTAAAAATACGATCCTTGAATTATTAAAGGAGTTTTCAATTACATAGAGCATACACTGTGTTGACATGGGAAGTCGGTGCGGGAGGTGAGGTACTGAGGTACAACCAATTACCAATACACCACAACAGGTGGCGAAGTACCGAGTTTATGTTCGTACTCTTTGGAGAGCTTACTTCAAGTATATATCTTTTTATTATAAAAGAGTTAATTTATTTGTATTCTCCCACCTTAAAAATTTTCAAAGTGCACTACCCAATATGCACTTCAAACATTAAAAATTTTCAAATTTGAATTTCAAACATTTATAATAAGTATATGTTCATAAACAAAATTCCAATAAATTAGGGATTATGATTTCCTTCAAAATAACTTCAACTAAATCAGGTGGACTATCTCCTTCACTTTCGTTAATTATTATTATTATTATTATTATTATTATTATTATTATTATTTTTATTTTGGAAACCTTCGATTCACCTTTACTTATTATAAGGAAAAAAATAGAATTCATATTTGATAAATTTCGGTTTATATATGGACCATAAAATCGGGAATAACTCATTAGAAAATCAACTTGAAATTAGAACTCTGATGATAATTAAACTCTCTAAGATCGACAGATTCAAATAGATATCAATAAAACAATAATAAGTAATGAAAGATGACAAACAACACTGATGATAATTAAACTCTCTGAGATCGACAGATTCAAATAGATATCAATAAAACAATAATGAGTAATGAAAGATGACAAACAACAATGATGAATCAAATGAGTATCGAATAATTAATATGCTCCACCTCAGAAGAATTCAATGTGAATTTCTACTGTAGAGGTGTGCTAGGGTTACAATACTTGATCTCCACAATAATAATCAAAAGCGTAAAAAAGATAATGCATGCATGCACTATATATATATATATATATATATATATATATATATATATATATATATATATATATATATATATATATATATATATATATAAACCCGAAAACTAAACACGGTTGGACAAGCTCAAACCGTGAGTACAAATGGACCGAACTATGAAGGCCCAATGGCGCAAGCCCTTAGACTCAACAACCTCCCCCTTTGCGCCAATTAAGGCGAGAGATCACTTCGGTCGAGTGGGAGCAGGTGACTTCACAATCTTGAATAGCTTCGGTATGTTGGCAAGTAGAGTTTGACGAAAGTTTATATACCACCGAAGCATGTCCGTAAGCAACTTTTTGTTTGCATCACTGCTCTGATCACACCTGTAAATGATTTCAAGAATATGCTCCAAGCACGCGGTGGAGAACAAATGTTTGTCGGCAAGAGCGAACAGGCATTCTTGACCTTCGCCTTTGGTGAACAAAACCGTGTGAAATTGTGGATCAATTTTCCTCTTCACCATCACAGTCATGTCACTTGTCTTCCTAATCGGCTTTATAATTGGCTTCTTTCTTATAGCAGAGGCAACTTCCTGATCCATCTTTGCCACTTCAAGAATATAGCAGACCAACATCCGCTTGATATGATCAATGATAGGCTTGTACTGTTGTTGATTGGTTAGTAAAATATTGTTCAAGAGAATCCAATCATGAGGATTCAGATTCGACAAATCAGCAAAGGAAAACGTATGGGCCGAACCATCTGACCCTCGAGTCACTTTGAACTTAATGTTTTTTGGAAAGGGAACTTCCCTAACGAGGGTTTCCGGGCCAGCTTTCGCGCACCGACTAATCCCCCGCTGCAAACATAAAGCTTTGCCTCATGCCCTGAAGTCACTGCAGGCGAACCTCCATGGCCACAAGGGCTGAGTGGTGCTAGGATTTGAACATGGGTCAATAGGTTATCCACCATATCTTCCACATGCCTTACCAAGTCACCACAACCCAAGTGGTTAATGTTGATGAACTTCCCTACCAAAGTCGGTTTCAACACCTTGACTGTTGTGATCTTCTTATTACTCCAAGTCATATATCAAGATTGAGAAAAAGTAAAATAGTACTCCAGTAAGTCTCGATCAACCTTCGGATCAAGTGAAGGAACAACAACAGTTGAATCGAAATAATGAAATATGAATGCCTTTCGGGTGATTGGCATGTCGAACTGAGAATCCTTGGAATTATCAAGACTAAACGAAAGGACTGGTTCGAGCCAATGTGTGCTTGGAGACTCAATTACCTCCTTCAAAAGCTTTTCCATCGTCCATAAAGGGAACATGGATTTCCTTCGTTCCATAGCTTCATTCGTTTCTTTTTCCTTCTTCTCTTTCAATGTGTTCATTTACCTTTTTAAGCTTCTCCTTGAGTTCTTGATCATTGTGTTTAAGGTTGGGATTTTCAGGTTCGGAGGCTTTACCTTGAATTTCAATTATGTCTTCAATCACCACCTCATCATCATCATCAGCTTTCTTCTTTCTTTTGTCCATCATACTGCCCGAAGCATCCTTACCTTCGGTACAACAGTGACTTTTGGTTGTGGTGTAGGTTTGATTGTGGGAGGTGGTTGAGATTTACCTTGAACAACATTGTCTCCCCATTGTTTCGGAAGGACAATGGACTCCGAAACACCCTCAATCCTGCTCAAAATGTCCAGAGCAGGTCTCAATTTCTCAGCCAAATGGCGTCGAACCATAATGGTAAGAGATGAGACATGAGCTTCAAGTAAATGCAAAAGAATATAATGCATGTCACCAATGCTAATTTTAATGATAACTCACTCTGACTTGAGATCATTAATCTCCTTTCGAATCTGGGTGAGTCGCAAAGCTTGAGTTTTGACCTGAGTAGTTTTGAGAGCCAGTTCGTCCATGACTTTGTTTTCCATAGCGAGATTATTTTGCAGTTTATCAAGGCGAGAGAAGATGGATGAGAAAAGAGCAGTCTAATCAGCTTTTAGAGAATCACGCACCATCTCAAATTTTTGATGCTCATCTTGAAGTGACTTTGAATGGAAACTCTTATCTATTGTGATAATGAAGCTGCCATACAAATTGCTAAGAACCCTGTCCAACATTCTAAAACCAAGCACATCAATATTAAAATTCATTTTATCCGAGATTGTTATGAACGTTCTTTAATTCGAATAGAACAGGTCCACACTGATAACAATGTGGTGGACTTGTTCACAAAACCTTTTAACAAAGCTCGCTTCGATGTACTTGTGGGATTTTTGAAAATGATACGTTTTGAGGATTAAGTTTTTCTATTTTTTTATTTTCATTTTTGGTTTCATTAGTTTATAGTTTGAATTTTTTTTTTGTTAGGTTAGTTTAAATTTGCGCATTGTTTTGTTTCGTATTCTCACCCATGCACAAATTTAGGGGGAGAAATAAAAAATCCAAAAACAACAAAAAAAAAAATTAAAGATTGATAAAATCCAAAAATAGTGTCATTTTTGTTTAGCATTACAGTTGACAACTTCGGTTGTAA